CTGAGGCCGCGTCCCACGTACAGCAACTAGAAGGATGTGCAGCTATGACATACAACTATCTACTGGGGCTTTGAGGGAAAAATAAATAAATAAAATTTAAAAAAAAAAAGTCCTTTATGTGAATTTTCAGGCTGAATTAGAACTTTAGTTTTGATTTGATCTTGTTTCCCAGTCTGTACTTACATCCAACTACTTTTTTGTGTCCTTCAAAACTTTCATTGGCCTATGAAGGTATAAATGTATATGACTGTTTATAAGACAGTTAATAAACCTCCCATATGTACAAAAATAGACATACATAAACAAGAGGAGTCCATCGGATCATATCAAAGTGTCAATCTGAAAGAACCAATTTCTCTGTTTTTAACTACAAAAGGCCTGAAATTAAACTAGCAACTAAGAAATGGAACACTTCTTGAAACATCATTTAAGAAAAGTTGTACTGTATTCAAAACGCCCATACTACATCTTTCTTAACCAGATTCCATAAGTCCTAAAATTATTTCATTTCCCCAGAAACTACAAGAAAAAAGATTAAAATTTTGGAAAAAAGTTTAAAAAGCATTCTATTATTCCCCAAGGAAATAGGCTTGTTATAAAATATGAAATAACTGTGCTTTTTTTTTCCTATTCCTTTCATTTTAGAACTACTATACACAAAGAAAAATAACTAAAGTGAACTCATCAATGCCAGATCAGCCAACAATGTTAAATCACTTTGAGTTGAGTGCATACTTAACTGGAATTAATACTTTGGGAAGACCGTGTGTTTACCTGCTATAAAGAGCACAGTTGCCTATTTGGGAACAATATTTACAGGTTTGCTGTTCCTCAATTATTTGTGGCAAAGGAGCAAGCTTTGTCTTCTCCTTCTCAGTAGCAGATTTGCTAATTCGGTGAAACAAAGAAAATGCCATCTGGTTTCTTAGCCTTAATAATTCTATGGGGAAAAAAAGGGCAGGTGTTTTTAAAGAATTAAGAGATATTTATTATATATCTATTCCATCATATAAGTGAAACTTTAGATTTAAAAACATAAAAAAAGTAAAGAAAAACATTCGTATTTCCCACTTCACTAGAATAACCACTGTTAACATTTTGGTATATTTCCTTCAATTTTTGTTTACTTAGTAAGTTCTTTAAATAATCACGTATCTCATAACTAGTAAATATTGTGAAGTTGGTGTTTTATTAGCTGAATGCCAAGATAAATATAGCTATCTAGAATGTCTCAAATATAAGATAGAAAGTTTAAAATAAAGTTTTGTATAATAAAATTTTAAAAGGTTAATGTTTTCAACTATACAGTATTTTGTTAAAATTTCTTTTAAAAAATACCAAAACTACAAATTACAACTTGTCTTAGGCCTAGCAAGTGCAGCGAGCGATTGTCAGGTATAAATATGTATCACAAAAAGCTGAAGAAAAAACAAACAAAATCCAGAGAAGTAAAATTGAGAGAAAACAGCTCAACCTCTTTTATCAAGATGTTTGGCAGGCACAGGGTACATCTGGCCAGTCTTCAGGTAGAGGAGCAGGCCGGCCTCTGGGTCAGCTCTTCTCTCTTGGCTTAGCAGTGTGTACAGAACAAGCTGTAAAAACGTTGTACATTTTGTCAAATAAAACTTCAACTTTCTGTATCTCCATACATCTTTTGCAATCAATACATATTGTAATTTTAAAGTCAAAAGGTCAATTAAGCTATTTCCATTTTGAAAATAACATGAGCCAAATTAGCAAAGGTAACACAATAAACTCAATGTCAGATATTTAATTTCCATGAAACAAACATAATTTTTGCTTCTCAGTTTTACATAGACAAAAAAAAATATTTAGAACTTTTCTTAGTAAATATTTAGGTTTCCAATAAATTAAAGAGGGAAATTAATCAAACTATGTTTTACATTTTCAAGTTAACAGTCTTTAGACACTATTTTCCCTGTTTAAAATAAGTGAACTAAACATTAAAATGCATATTATTTATGTCATAGTTACTGTGACAACTAAATGAGACTAACTCTACAGAGTTTACTGTTTTTTCCAGAGCATGAAGCATCATTAACTGCATTAAGTTTATGTGCTGCTCTTCAGAAAAACCATCTAAGACAAGTTAGAAACAGCTCCTTTTTTTTTTTTAATTTTATTTATTCATTTATTTTTCCCCCAAAGCCCCAGTAGATAGTTGTATGTCATAGCTGCACACCCTTCTAGTTGCTGTATGTGGGACGTGGCCTCAGCATGGCCAGAGAAGCGGTGCGTCGGTGCACGCCCGAGATCCGAACCCGGGCCGCCAGCAGCAGAGCGCGCACACTCAACCGCTAAGCCACGGGGCCAGCCCAGAAACAGCTCCTTTAATTCATGAAAATACCTTAGCAACAAGAGCAACTCATTTAGTTAGAGTCATATACAACCTAACAACAAGCCGAATTGTTTTCCAAATGATCTCCAAGATTAAAATATTAAATGATTTATGAAGGCCCAGTCTTGAAATCATAAAATTCCAAAATACCAAGACCAGTAATTATAATTAACATGCCTAAGTATAATGTCAAATTATAATTATATTCTTGTTTTCTAAGCTATATTTAAAATATAATGATTAATTTATAGAAGGCAAAAAGTATACTTGCAGTATAAATATTAATTATATCTATAAACTCATCATTAAGTGCCCAAGACAGGCTTACAAAAAACAAAAATACATTAAATTCAATTGATTTTTGTTCTTTTGCTCCTATCAAAAATAGTGGTGCCTATGCAACTAATAAATGTAACAGAAATATAGAAGAAATCCTAATATAAATAACATAATAATCCTAATATAAATTTTTCAAGAAAATACAATCCCAGATACCTCAATGTTCAAAACATTTACAGAAATACTCACAGTAACCCCAAATATCTACAAAGTAAAATGCAGAAACGTTCAGTCTCATGAAACAATCATCCCAAAGTCTGATATTTTAGCTTGATATCCTAAATTCAACTGTATACAAAAGACTTTTACAAAGGGCATTGCTTCAACATCTGAGCCTATGAAGCACGTTTTGGGAGGTCTTCTTAAAAGCACCCTACTTGTGGTCCCTTATACAGCAAAGGTACCAAATAAAACTTCTTAAAATTAAAGTGAACTCATAAATGACAAGGGTAGAGCCTTGGGGCTGTGGACTGAAGCAGTCCTCCAAAACTAATGGTCCTTCCATGTTAAGTTTTTTACTCCATGGGAACTGAAGCAGAAGGAAGAGGTACAAAGGACTCTGCTTCTGGGACTTACTAGGCGGGAAAAATGTCTGAAATGAAATTCCCTTAATATTATGATAGAAGGAAGTTGCATTAAAAGTTTACAATATTAGTATAATTCAACTGTATCACAAGTTAATAGGTTTTTGTGAGCTGGTTTAGGGATCACAGCTCCATATAATATTTTTCTTTTAGAAAATATGTTTCAAATGCCAAATTACTGACTTACAAAAGAACTGGAATACAATCCACTTATAAACATCTTCCTAATTGAAGGTAGTTTATAACTTAAGCTTTTTCTGTACTACCAGAGCGGAAAAGTCAAATCTTCTAAGAGGGGAAATCTATTTCTTTCCTCATCTCCAATACCTATATAACTCAATGAATTACTATAATTAATTCTTTAACGTCTCCTTGTTTCCTGCACAATGAATATGCAATATAAACTCCAATATTTTTGTTTGAGCTTTGCTCTAGTAAATTTCCTCATTTTTTTAATACAAGAAGTATTATTTTATTCTCAAAGTTCTTTGTGCAGCTTCTCTTCTTGCAAAGATGAAAGTTCCAACTGAAGAAAATTAAACACAGTAATATTCTTTGCCTTGAAGGCACTACAACTTAGAGCAGCAACCTTAAAAAGGACAAGTCTTTGAATCTAGACCACTTTAGATGTGAAATGCTTCTATATTTCTTTCTTTTCGCATTCTAAAGTGATTTCAAACTTGTCCAAAAAAAAATAAGTAAAGGGCCGGCCCTGTGGCTTAGCGGTTAAGTGCGCGCGCTCTGCTACTGGCAGCCCGGGGTCGGATCCCGGGTGCGCACCGACGCACCGCTTCTCCGGCCATGCTGAGGCCGTGTCCCACATACAGCAACTAGAAGGATGTGCAGCTATGACATACAACTATCTACTGGTGCTTTGGGGGAAAAATAAATAAATAAAATTAAAAAATAAATAAATAAGTAAAAAATTTTCAGTTGCACATACACAGAACACATTTCTTCACATCTCTGACTTCAAAAATAGGTTTTCTTCTATCTTGGCATGATTCTCCTTCTTCAGGGCTGTCATCTAGCTAACTCTTTAGTTGATAATCTCAGCCATTTCTGTATTACCCAAGTGAAAATTCAAGTCTTCTAACAGGGGAAACCTATTTTTCCCTCCACCTCGAATACCTGTGAACCCAATAGTAGCTGAAACAACAAGGTTGCCTTACTGTTCATTCCCAAACTGAAAAGCTTTCACGAAAACCTCTGGTGTCTGGTACACAATTAAGAACGCCAAGAAACACTTAATAAGAGAAAGACTCTTCAATCCCTGATTCTACAATTCAGTATTTTGAAATTGAATCTTATTTTATATAAAATCTCCTGAAATAATATGTGAAATTCCAAGGGCCAAAGAAAATTTGAGTTATATTACAAATGCTGTTATTCGTTATATTATTTATTCCCTTAATACATACTATACCATAAAAACACAATAATATTACTATCTTCTAGTCTTATCTTTGCTGATTTAAAAGTGTCTAGAGGGGCCGGCCCCGTGGCTTAGCAGTTAACTGCTCACGCTCGGATACTGGCGGCCCGGGTTCGGATCCTGGGCGCACACCAACGCACCGCGTGTCGGGCCATGTGGAGGCAGTGTCCCACATACAGCAACTAGAAGGATGTGCAACTATGACATACAACTATCTACCGGGGCTTTGGGGAGAAAAAGGGAAAAAAAAGGAGGAGGATTGGCAATAGATGTTAGCTCAGGGCCGGTCTTCCTCAGCAAAAAGAGGAGGATTGGCATGGATGTTA